AAGCTAGCAAGCTGTACTATGAGCTGTGATTACCTGTTCATTGAGTTAGCATATTGACTGTAGTCTCCCCTTATTCACACCCTCCCTTTCTGTGGCTTCCATTATCCAAAGTCAACTGTGGCCAAGAAAATCATCATGGCTCATCATGGCTCAGTGACCCAGGGTTGCTGGAAGAAGATGATCCCCCTTCTGACCTATTGTCAGAAGGTCAATAGCAGGCCAGCACTACCTCACAATGCCTAGGTCAGTTGCCTCCCTCCGTCTCATCATGTAGGCATTTTATCGTCTCAGGTCATCGTAAGAAGGGTGAGTATAGCACAGTAAGATATTTTGAGACACAGAGAGATCACACTCATATAACCTTTTAGAGTTTATTATGTTATGATCTATTTCATTATTATTGCTGTTCATCTCTTACTGTGCCTAATTTAGAAATCAAACTTTATCATAGGTATGTAAGAAGTATGTAGTATACGGGAAAAAAAATATATATAAAAAGGATTGGTACTGTGACTTCGGGCATCCATGAGAATCTTGGGATGTACCCCCCACAGATAAAAGGGGACTACTATACTATTTCAAAGTCAAGAGGTCACCTGATCCTCAACTAATGGCTCAGCACTTTATGGCTTCTCGTACTCAAAAAGCCATGATTCCTAAATTAATCTTATGAAGCTGAAAGTTCTCAATGTTTGAATTTCACTAAATGCTTACTTTTCCTGGGAGAAATGGAAACATCCCAAATGGCTTTCATGTAACAAACATCTTTTTGAGTATTACATGTTACAGTGTACTGCTCATGAATTGATTTTTTTATTCTTTTTACCTTTATGTATGAAAATATTGCATTAGTTAGACACCAAGAATCACCAAATTTAATCTGATTTTAAAAAAGGAAAATATAACTGGACTCTAGGATTCCCATAAATACACAGGGCATCTGAGAACAAGGTCCACTCACAGTTTCAAGATTGGTGATTGGGCGTGTGTGTTCATTCTGCTGGCCACTCATAGAACTACTACTCATTTGCACATTGTCTCCTATTTTTCAAAACACTTCCCAGTTATGGTTGGTGAGAGGGGGGTTTATTTTCTTACTTTGTATACTCATAATTTTTGAATTACTTTTCCAGAGAGCACATATTACTTTTATAGTCAAAATAAAAATTAAAATAATGAGAAAAAGTAAAACAAAACCCCCCTAAATCCTCTGCTTGGGAAAGTTTTTTGACCAGTTTCCAAATCAGCCTCTCCTCAACCCATATAACTCATGTCCAGACTCTTCCAGTAAACTAATATCACCTCTCAATCATTTATTTGTAGCCTAGGCCTTATTCTACATAGTATAGTAATTTTAAGTCCACGTATCCATTGTTCTCACTAGATTATTAGTTGTGGAAGAATAGGATGTTTAAAAATTATCCAGACCTCCCACTTCTATCCTAGTAATTGGCATGTCACAGGTGCCAAGCAAATTCTCTTTAATAAAGAATGGAGAGCAGCAGGTGGCATGGTGGTTAAGGTGATGGACATTCCCACATGACTAACCATGGTTCAAGTCCCAGACCTGGTGACTGGCTCTATAACTCCCCAGTCCCTGTGTCTCTCTCTGGTCAAATTAAAATAAATGAATGAATACATATAAATTAAATAAAAAAAAAAAGCATGAAAGGAGCTTGGCCCTCCTGTGAAGGGAAAGGAAGATGGCCAAGTCACTAAAGAGCCATTCCACCCATTTCCCAGCCCCTCTCCTGGCTCATGGCAACACTGCTATGACACTGCTGTCTGGGGAGGCCTCAGCACGCCTTGTCATAGCCACCTCCTTAGATTGTTCATGCTTCAGTAGGGCAAGTGCCCATCCAGCGTCCTTTCCTTTACCTGAGTACAGTACTGCTTTTCAAGCCTCTGGCTCTCCTTTTGCTTCTGACAGGTCAAGGACACCACAGATACAATGGTGCTGTTGTAGTTCTCTTGGGAAGAGGTCCAGGACATCAAGGCAGAAGTTGAGCTTAAGACATGGACGCTCACATGCTGAGGCTTCTCTGTCAATTCCTCAATCCACTCTCCTGAAGGACCTGAATATTTCAAATCAGAACACAAGGGAGGTTGCACACTGAACAGGCTGACATAAAAGATGCTAGTTTAAAAATTAACATTGTTTTCTTTTGTCCTTTCAAAGATATTCAAACAAGATTTGATGCTAGATAGGCAACATGGTAGATCCTCTGCCTAGCAACTGTCCTCAACTCCATGACCTCAATCTTGATCTAAACAACAGCCACTTTTGCAACAATAGTTCTATTGAGAGCCAGAAGGTCCACTCCAATTCTAACGTACATCTGAGAGTATTCTGATAAATTTTTCACCAGAAAAAAATTTACTTCTCTTTTCCCAAAGAGTGGGTTTGGCATCTCATCAGTGTTTATAATTCCTTTTCTGTTAGAATCTTTGGTATCTCTGGAAATAATTTGAGATTCGAATTAACGTCTGCTACAATCCTGTGAAAAAAATTTAAATTTGACCACAGTAGGGACAAAGAGGCAGGTTGTGATGATATGAGAAAACAGCAACAGGCAGGCTCAATTAAAGAAACTAGCTAACACCTGAATGATCGTCTGAGAGACACAGTAAATTCCTTTTCCAAATATCTCCAAAGAAGTGGCCACCGTTAGTTCTAGTCTCAGGTTTCTAAAGTGGTTCTGAGCAGAGGGTCTGATGTTAAGGACTCAAGAAACTTTAAGGTGGTTATATATACTTAAATTCCTTATTAAAATGCAAATGTACAACTTTTAAAATGTGTTTAGGATACAACTCTCCGTTCCTTAACTGAATGCAGTATACTGAAGCGGGAACTCAGGAGAGGAAGAGGAGCATGTTGCTTCACTGGGAAGGGCAGATTCAGGCTCAATATAAATGGTGCAAGGGAAATCATAATAATAAATAATAATGATGGAAAGGATATAACATCTGTTATGTACTAGGCTCTGTATTAAGTTTGTATACATTTATGTATTTCTTTTTCTTTCTTTCTCTTTCTTTCTTTTTTCTTTTCTTTTTTTTTTTGAAGAGACTTTCGCTATGTGGCATGTGCGCTCACCAGAGAGACAGAGAGATAGAAAGCGAGAAATCACCCCTAGAGGGGATGGCCATACCGCAATCCCTTCTCCTCCTTTCTCCTCTCAGGATCCTGGTCATGCATGCACAAGTGCCCAGTGTGAGTTTAAGCTACTGGGTCCAGGACTCCAACCATGGTTGACTACATGGGAGTCCAGTGACATAGCCATTTCGCCAACTGCTGGCCCCAATTTACATTGTTTTTTTTTCAATTGCAGAAGGTTCGTGTGCTTTGAAGAGAGAGACTAGACAGACATGGACAAGGAGAAAGTACTGCACACCCCCAAGCGCAGTGTGGTTATGCTGCAATTGCTTCTCCTCCATTTCTCCATCTTGTCAGGACCTGGGGCACACACACACATGCTTGGCATATTTTTCAAGCCACTGGGGTTATATTTGAACTGAGATGAGCCATGTGAGATCCATTTCCTTAGCCACCAGGTCATTGGGCTGGCCCTGTGTTTATGTATTTTAATCCTTTAATTCTTATAACAAGCCTTTGAGTCCTATGATTCGATGTCACTTTTCAAATGAGAAAACCGAGGCAGAGAGAGGTTAAGCTGAGCTAGGATTCATACCCAGGAAGTCCAATTCTAAAATCTATACTAGTGACCCCATATGAGATTTCCTGGAGCACTACGAAATACTGAAAAGCATTGGTTTGGAGATAGGAAAATTGGCTCGAGACTCAGTTTTGCTCATTATTAATGGCACAACCTTGGACAAATGATTTAGCTTCTCTGAATTCCAGTCATTGCATCTGTTACATGGACAAATCATGGAATGCTGGAATCGAAAAGAACTTAGAGATCCAGTGACTTACTTTAGTGATAAGGAAACTTACACTCAGAGACATGAATGGCGTGAATAATATCCCAGAGCTAGAAGGCCTTGGGACTCAATCCATGCCCTTGTTGTCTCCCGAGTCAGTGCAAACACAGGATGCCATCTGACCAATCTACTTCTCAAGGTTGTCATTAGAGTCAATGAGGTAACATGTGTTAGAGAACTGTGTAAATGGGCAGTATTGTTACGCCATGAAAGCTACAGGTATAGTAGGGCAGAGAGAAAGTGGAGTGAAATAAAATAAATTCACTTATTTGATAGTTTTGCACTTGGACTGAACTTATAACCAACTCAAGGTACTAGGCCATTGCAGGCTATGTGGAAATACATTTTGGTGTCGAATATTCCTGGGCTCTAATCTTTGTTCTGACAATTGGGAAAGTCACTGAATATTTCATGACTTGGTATGTTCCAAGTGAAAAAATGAGGATAATAAAAATATTCTTTTCATAAGGCTGTTGTAGGGCTACTGTAAATTTCTACCTTCATTCTCATCTCTGGGAAGGCCTTCAACACTACATGAATATAAATTATAATGCAACAATATTAACACAGATCTTACTATATTGGTTCATCACCAGCATCTCAAACAGCTTAATCAGGAGAATAGGTTCTTATCATTTAGCTGGTGTGTGATATACTATATTTAGAGAAATTAAGCCACCCTAATTAGCTGAACTGTCCTTTCTTTAAACCAAGGAGGTATACACAGAATACCTGAGTAACAGGTAAAAAGCTATCCTAACTACTTAAAAACATCATTCTTTTATGAGCAAAGGAAAGACAAAATTTTTAGAGATCTATATTTATGTAGATGAATATTACAATGCAGCTCTTTGAAATGATCACATTTTGAAAAATTCTAACATATTCTGAATCACACTAGTCATTTGGATACTCTGAAAGAATAAAGTGACAGAGAAAAGCAGTCAATAAATACTTGTGAAATATGTAAAAGGATGAATAAATACTCAAATAGTATAATCCCAACTCAGAATTTTATAATTTGATTTGAGAAGAAAGATATACATGAAGAAAATAAATCTACAAAAATACCACACCCTAATAAGCTCTGGATTTTGTGCTGTTCCTTAGGAAACAAATGAGAAATGCAGAGAGGGGAAAAGTCAGCAGGGTCAGACCAATCAGCAGAGTATACATGAAGCTGTGTACACTCACAGTGGATCTGTACCTGAGGGCAAGCAAATCTCCCTGTCAGTGAAGCCCTTCAGCCTCAAAGGAAGACTGAATCCTCAGCTTTGATGTCATGCTCATAGGCTCTAGCTCAAACATCTTTCACACTTGAAAGACACATGAAGTAATTATGAATATCATTTCTGTACAGCGGATGGATCTTCCAGGCCTTTAGGCCGTGCTAACATTTTTGGTTTCCTGTTTTGTTGTAAGGGACATGTGCAACATTTTTAAGTTGCTCAATAAACTGATCTCTTCCTTTTGTCCTCATTCCCCTTACACCCCTGCCTTTTTGAGGGTTAATTGATGAAAGGTGGTATTTTACCTTTGGAGAAGGCAACAGAGTAAATGGCAGTCCTTTCTTTCTGAGAACAATGTCTTTCTATTCATTGTCTTCTGTGTGTTTTTAGTTTTTTCTTTCTGCTAATCAGACGCATATTTAGCTCTTGATAAGCTCTGTGACTGCTTTTTGGCCTCTGAACTTCCAGTAAACACAGACTATTTAGCTAAACACATTACAGAGACATGCACTATTTGTGCAGCCTTTGGAGGCTATCTTTCACTTGCTATTATGAAACTGCCCTTTGTGAAACCAGTAGAAGCCTCCGTAAGACTTGGCAGGGAATCTGTTAGGATGCTCTAACGATGTGTTCCTCCGTCAACTTCATGGACTCCACCCAGCTATAACAGCACTTGAATCTTTGCTTTTCTTTTGAGTGTTACTAGATCAATACTCTAGTGAGATTTTTCTCACAATCCTTTATTCGTTACCAATACAGCATCAAACATTCTCATTTCCCAAACTGTGTGTCTAGTACAGGAGGTTAGTTTAATAAATGCCAATTATCACAATAAATATAAAAGTCCTCAACTTTAATCTCTGGGTAGGCTCCTACTATTAAACATACATATATTTCCTGTGCTATCAAAAGCTCATGAATCCTTGGGACCAGCAGTTGGCGTAACTACTAGGTGTCTGGACTCCCAAGCAGTAGACTATGGTTCGAGTCCTGGACCTGGTGGCTTAAACTTACGCCAGGCTCGTGTGCGTGTGTGCCCAGGATCCCGAGAGGAGAATGGAGTAGAAGGGATTCTGATGTGGTCATCCGCCCTGAGGGGTGATTTCTTGCTTTCTGTCTCTCTGTCACTTTCTGGCGAGCACATGCGCCCTATACCCAAAACCTCTCAAAAGCTCATGAATCCTGGTCTCTTCTGATCTGAAGAACTCTCTCAGGATTCCTAAGGTTTGTAAATAACTGACATCAGAATATCATTCATCTCCCTGGTTTCATTGTTCTAGCTTCCCTACATGTGCAAAATAATCTCTTTGCTACTTACTGATATAAAAGCTGAGTGATTTTGCTGACTGACTGTTTCGAGTTTCACATGATCCCGAGGAACTAAAGGTGGTCACAGATAACTTATATTTCCCAGGCTCCTTCAGTTCTGCAACAAATTCATGCGCTTCTTCATCCACTGTCAAATATTCAGTAAAGTTCTCTAAATCATACAGAAAGGAGAATATATATGAATTTAAACCTGGAAGAACCTTGGGCATAGACATGTCAATTAATTTGTTTTTTTTTTAAAAGTATCATTTATATTACCTCTTTTAGCAAGTTAAACTATACTAGAGATATTATAAAAGAAAGATAAATAAGATTTCAATTTTTCCACAATACTTTGAAATAACAAAACTGAAATGTGGTGTTTGAATGAATAAAACTAGGAACGGGTGTCTACTGTATATCCTTATATAACACTCAACACAATTACATACATAAAATAGAAGCAGGATGGTAGGAAAAGATACCAATCATTGACTTTTTATTCTGGATATAAGAGATAAAAAATAACCAGCACCAAATTATTTTATAATTTTTTTGTGGTAGCACTAAATATCTATAAATGCTTAAAAATATCATTGAATTCTTTCTAGTTAGAAATAATTCTCCTGGATGTATTTTCTAATACTTATAATATTTTTCCTTCATCTGTTTGCTTCCAGAACCTTTAAAAGTAAGAATTATTTTACATTGCCTTGGAGTTCATCTCCTGTTACTTATTACTTCATTTGAAGTCATTATTATGACTTTATTATCATGAAATTGAGTAGCCTTCAAAAGACAAACTGAAGTCAGAAAAAACCATGATAAAACTTTAATGAAAATGGAAGTTAAAAATAAAAAGCCCTGAGTTATAAAATCCTATTTTCCATAGAATATAATGAGAACAAAAAAATAAAAGGCAGATTGAAGGTTTTTTAAATTTTTTTACTATAACCAATTCTAGGCAAATATTTTTTTTTTACTCAAACAACTGGAAATAACAAAAGATTTCAATTTTATATATTTGATATGGCTAACTGCTCTATCATTTAGTATAGAAGAATCTACAAATTTTATATATCATCCTATTAAATAAAGTAGAAGTATACAATAGTGTATATGTGAAGAAACTTCAAAAAACTTGTGAAAAATGGAATTAAAGTATGAGTTTAATATGTTGCAAAAAGTGTATAATTTTTTCACAATGTGTTTTCCATGCACTTTCGAAGAGATTACATAAATCTAATGTCCTACCATGAAAATAAGACTATTATTATATTGTAACTTCAAATTTGACAACTTGATAACCTTTGTCATCTAAACTACTAGAATGGAAAATATAAAATGAAGGAAGTTATTGTGAAAACAAACAACAAATAATTATAAAACTCTACCAACAATTGAGATATGATTCATGATCCAGGTTTGCTGAATGCCATGTCTCTATTTTCATCCATTAGTGGGATAAAATATAAAGAACAAATCTCAGATGCTGGATAAGTGAATGAAAGACATAATGAACTAGCTATAATGAGATATCAGTTGCTATGTATTGACTTTTTGAATATCAGTTCCTTTTAAGGAAAATTTGATTGCTAGTTCCAGAGAGATGCACCCTAAAGGGAATAAGAATAGCTAAGTACGCAAGACATAGTCCTCATACTCTTAGAGAAGTAGTGATTTTGTCAGAATTTTTGTTGTGGTAGTTGCATGTTTCATAAATTTGCATATAAAAATGAGCAAATGTCTCTAGGATATTCTGTAGTATTCTGTGATGGTTAGATTTTTGATCAAAGTATTTCCAAATATAAGATTTCACTTAAAGCTTGGAGTATGTGAAATAATGGGCAGTGAAACATATATAGTTGTCAGTAGTTGCAACTTGTGAATCACCTGAACCTTCTGATTCTGATCCAACCTATTCATTTTGGTTTTCTGTTCTCAGTTCATATTGGGTACTTTATTAAATTTCTCACTTTCTTTACAATTATTCTTTGAACTGTCTACCACCAGTCTTTCTAAACTCAAGAACACTCCAATTTCCTTTCTCTTGTATATTTATTCTGATTCCCTACTGCTTTACCTTCTCTTTCTATATGAATATGGAACCCATCAAAGGCAGTGGGTGGTTTGGGTGGTAACCAGCTCAATATCATTTGCACAGGGAAAAAAGAGAATGAGCCTGACGTTGACTTCTCAGTCTCACTGAGTGTATTGTTATTTTCGTATTCCATGGGAAGTACACTGACAAATTCATCTTCACTTTCAGGAGTTGCAGATGCACTGTCCCACCAATATGGCTGAGATGTAGTCTCAAAGTCACTGCTATTAAAATCGGGCCAACCAGAAGAAGTGTTGCCAGAGGGAAGTTCAGGAGTTTCATCTGTAAAATGGAAGAGTTTGTCTTTTCCTGTTGTATCTTGTGATCTCATGAAAGGTTCTTCTGGAAAACTGCCACTCTGTTCTTCCCAGTTGTTTTTGTTCAAGTTTACTATACGAACAGAAATATTTCGAGGTGGATAAGGGGCTGTAAGAGAAAGAATTTTTATTTTCAAGTAATTTTTAATTCAATTATAGTGAACAATCTATGAATGAGTCAAATACACAAACGGATTTACAGTAGAATTTAATTTTACTTCTTACAGAGAAGTTTACATCAAGAACAATTATGGTTTTAAATACGTATACTTTTAGTATTTTGTGGATGACATGAGAATATCACCAGTCGCACTTCAAATATATTAACCTGTGATATTATACTTCTCAAAGTGGTAATTTAAGCAATTTCAAAACATGTTTACATACATAGTCTCATTTATCCCATTCTCACTTCGCAAATAACTATCTCTATCTCTGAATCCTTGTTACCAACCCCCCAGAAACAACAAGAAATGATAGTGTACTTATAGCTATCAAGATAAAAATACTCTGACATAAGTTCACCTAGGAAAGTTGCACATGAATTGCCTAGAGATGTTAACACATGTTGTAAAATACGGTTTCACTCCTCATCACTCTAAGAATGAAGCACAGGAGCACAAAACGAATTATGGAAGTGTACTTTTCTGGAGGAGAAAATTATGAAGACACACTATGATCTCTTCCTGAAACAGTTTCTACCTATCCTTTAAATTGCATCTCAAATATCGCCTCTTCCATAAACTTCTGATAAGCATTAGTTTCTGCTTTCTTTGTGGTGTTAAATAACTTTGTACTTCTTTTATAACATTTATCTCATTCTGTCTTGCATTATGATTTGTATAGGGCTCACCAGTTCTTGTCTCCATCTTTCTCAGTACTTAGAACAACTTCTAGGAAGAGGGTGCTCAACTAATGTTTCTTTACTTGAATTAAATAATGAAAAATACAAATAGAATCTTAAGTATTGACACAAGTCAAGTAAATCAGTGGAATTAATTTCATATATTAAGTTTAGAAGGAGTTAAGGAGAATTAGTTATTTTGTTAAAATAGCTTCCTTGTCTTGGCCTAGTGAATGAAAGTCAAACAAGAAGATTCTCAGGGAAATCTCCCATAACCTGTTCCCAGTGCTCATAAGACTGGCCTTCTCAGCATTCTAACTGAGTGCCCAAGCATATTTGGGACACACAATGTTGCTTATTTTGGTGATGGGTACTAAGTAGATACTTATTTTACCCAGTTCATTCTCACATATATTCAACTACCTATCCACCTGCCCATTCTCCCATTTTCATTCTGTAATGGTACCATATATTAGTGATGCTACTAAAATGAACTATTGCAAGTTTTAGATACATTTGAACAATAAATTCCCTTATTCTGATCATCTGTACTAGAATATCTACCCTATGTTTTCCAGTTATATTGGTATTCAAAAGGTAATAGAATAACTGATGTCTAGCAGATTCAGTTAAGTTTCTTAATAATAACTTTACCTTTTTATTCAAAGTTCATAAATCTATGACTACATTGGCATATTCTAGATTTTTCTCACTGGATATTTTGCTCAATTCCTCTTACACTGACATAAGATTTGTTTTAGATGATTAAAAATGCATACTTATCTTCTTTCTTAGCTCTGAAACAGAATATTTCTTACAAGTATAAAAGATAAGGGGCCAACTTATTATTATTTTTCTTAATTTGACTCTCTAAGACTTACCAGTTCTATGCTGTTTGGGTTCATGACTGACACCACTGTACTCCACAAGGGTGCTTTTATTAAAAGTTGCCTCAGACACCAGCTGAAAGGTGATATTACTATAACATATTCCTGGCAGCCAGTGATTAAATACTGTTTTTCCCTTAAAGAAATCTGTGAGAAGAAATATCAATTACATTTAAAATATGGTCTTTAAAATGTCACACACTTCTATAAAGTTCCAAACCATTATCATTAAATATCCATAAAATATTTTTTTTAACTTCTGGCATGGTCAGTAATAAAGAATAAGTAGAAGGCTAGAGATGAAACTTTGGATCTTTAAATTCAATCTTGCAAAGCTTTTTCTGTCAGAATTTCTAAAGGGATGAGATGCAGCTAGAGTTAAACTTTGATTACGGGAACTTTTAGGGTATTAAATGGAGAAGATAATACACAGAAATTATAGATAATAGATTTATACTATTAGTTTAAAGTTAAAAAAACAGCAATAACTTGCTACTTTATGATATAAATAATAATTTTACAAGAAATGTTTTCACATAAAAACTAGGCTGTTTTAGAAGTAGACTGTTTCATATGCCAATTGGCAAAGAGCACCTGCTCCCCAGGGCAAAATGATAAAAATTTTTGCATTCTACATAGGAAATATGAAAGAAAATAGTAAGAAATCCTCAAATCCAATCCAAGTAAAAAGACAGGAGGGGAATAAACTAAAAGTACCATTTATTGATTAAATATTAAAAGTAGTATTAAAATTACTTGACTTAAAAAAAGGGAACATATTAATTAATCTCATGACTTTTAACTCAACAAAGTTTCAGTAATTGTTTTTCAATAATTTTTAACTGGCACATAAGGATCCTATTTGTTTGTTTGTGTTCACTTGATTTTTTAAAATCTTTATTATTATTATTTTATTTATCTTTATTTCAATTTGACAAGAGAGAAACAGAATGGAGAGAGAGAGAGAGAAAATGAGAAAGCAAGTCTCTAGGTCTGAGACTTGAGCTGTAGTCGGCCATGTGGGAGTCTAGCACCTTTAACCACCATGCCACCTGCTGGTCCCCACTTGATTTTCTCTTTTTAAGATTTAAAAACAATAAAACTCATTGCATAATTTTAAAATTTCTCATTAAAAACCCATGCCATGGAAGAAAGGGTTTATAAAAGCCACAAGTTAAAGTGATCTTTTTTCTGGATTCTGTGCTCTAAGTGCTTCCATACCCATCCTCCACCTCAGCAATACATGTTTCCAGTTACAACCTGCCAGCTTTGATAACACCTTTTCATCTCCTCCAACCCCTACCAGAACCGTTGGAGTGCTTTGCTCTGAGAGTATTCAGGCTCCTCCATACAAATCCACTCCCAGTGAAGCTGAATACCCTCTCTGTTCTTCTAGCCCTAACCTCTTCTATCCAGAGAGATAAACTTGGTTCTCTTGAATAATATGAACTACTAATTTTCCAGGCTTTCTTTCTTTTTTCTCCTCCCTCCAAGGTCCCCATCGAGTCAGTAAATCAGTTTAATTAATTTTGTATATTAATGCAATCCTTTCATTGATCATATAGGCAAGTAAATATATACAAAGAAACTAAAAAGTATTGTCTTTTGCATTTGAAAGTAATCTTGCACATTTCCAGGTGAAATGTAGAAAGGCACCTCTCTGGCTTCTCAGTTCTAGAAGTGCTTTTCTATCACACTCAGCAGGCAATAGATAGGTGAAATCTAAACTTAAATTTAAATTATTTCCTGTGCCAGACATGCTGCCTTTGGAAAGAATAACATGCAAATGATAATAATTTGAGTATTTCTCATACTGTATGCGTGACATGTGACTCTCAACTAAAGACCCAACTATTGTAAAGCTTCCCATAATAGGATGAATCATCATTAACTTTGTTCTTTGTGTTTTGTTTTGTTTGAGACAGCACATGCAGTGGGTAGAGAGGATTTTTTGTTTTGTTTTTTGTTTGTTTTTTCAATATATCACACATATACTGATCCTCCTGCTCCAATCTCCCAGGTAGCTAGATTCACAAGCAAATCTCCCAGCTTGTTTATGTTGGGCTGGAGACCCAAACCCAGAACTCCCATGTGGCTTCAGCCATTATATCATATACCCTCCACTGCAAACCACTGTGGTTGAACCAATAACCATTTTTAATGGCTTATCTATAGGTCAAATAAGTGAATTATATAACCTCTCTAAAGTTTGAAAGAAGACCATTTGGAAAAAGTTATGTAAAAAGTAACAGTCAATCCTTACTTATTTTAGCCTTCTCTTCTCCTCTTACCTGTGTATAACAAGGTCCGGAAGTCTTTTCCTTCCCAGTAGCTTATGTTTACTCTTGTGAAAACATTATATTTTTCTGGATAATGAATTTCAAATAAGACTCCTGTTTCAGGAGAAGGTTTATAGTCATATATTGAAACACTGGTTACAGGTAGAGGTTCTAGAGAGTAAAGCAAATGGACAAAAGGGGAAAAGGGAGAAGAGAGAGAAGGGCCATTATCAACACTTGGAAGCACCCCGGGTCCCACCCAGCAAAACCCTGCACGGTACTCTCTGTGAACGCTAAACTACTGAGTCGAGTGTTCTCCTTAGCAGTAATGAATCAAGTATATTTTACATGGTGCTTTTTTACATTTTAACAGTTTTTATATTCATTTTTTTCACTTGCCTTTTACAACAATTCCAAATTTTATTAAGAGCAAATATTAATATCTCCATTTAACAGATAAACTACAATAACAGAGAGACCCTAAATTACTCATCCAGGGAAACATAAGAACTACATGGCAGAGATTTTTATCTCCAGATTCCTAATTCCTTTTTCTTTTCCTCATGCCAGAAAAAATTGATATTAATAACAAAGTAGTAGTTAAAATAAATTTTGGCTCTTATTGGTGATAAATATTTACTTCATGTGAATTTGACACTTATTTTCCTACATTAAGTATAAAATTGCAAACCATCAAACACTGCAAAACTATGGTTAATGGTATTTGTCAAACTAGTCTTTCTACAGAAGTTTAAAAAATTTATTTCTATTTTGCTTGAGTTGTCAATTAATTACAAAACTTTAAAAATATTAATTTTTTAAGAAGCAATGACTGATGTATGTCTGTAGCTCTTCCACATCACCCTCTGGCAAAATTCTTGTGAAGTAATAGGCCTTTACTACCCTTCTGAAGAAGCTATTGGATAAATTTTACTTACATTACTTACATTAATTTTATTGTTTTTTTTTTTTTTATAGAGAGAGATGTTTGCTATTAAGGCACATGGCCTCACTGGAGAGACAAAGAGAGACAGAAAGCAAGAAATCATCCCTTAGGGGGATGGTCACGCTGTAATCCCTTCTCCATTCTCCTCTCAGGATCATGGGCATGCATGCACATGTGCCCGGCGTGAGTTTAAACCACTGGGTCCAGAACTTGAATACCAGTTAATTGCACGGGCGTCCAGCAATGTAAACATTATGCAATCTGCCAGTCCCTCAAGAAAATATTTTAAGGGACCAGCAGTTAACATAATGACTATGTCACTAGATTCCCATGTAGTTGACCACCGCTCAAGTCCTGGACCCGATGGCTTAAACTCACACCGGGCATGTGTGTGTGCATGCCCAAGATCCCGAGAAGAGAATGGAAGAGAAGGGCTTGCGGGGTGGCCATCCCCTCTGGGCGGTGATTTCTCGCTTTCTATCTCTCTTTCTCTCTCTGTCTTTCTGGTGAGCGCACGCGCCCAATAAGAAAAAAACCTCTCCAAAAAAAAGAAAGAAAATATTTTAAGGTCAGATGGTGGCATGGTGGTTAAGGTGGTTGGCTCTCACATAGCCGTATGGTTCAAGTCCCAGCCCTACAGCTTAGAAAACAGGCTGAGCACATGTACATGCATGCCCAAAATCCTGAGAGAAGAGTGGAGGAAGAGGGAGTGCAGTGTAGTCATCCAACCAGAGGGTGCTTTCTCACGTTCCCTCTCACTTGTTCACTCTCCAAAGAGCACAAGCACCCTATAGCAAATTAAAACAAGCAAACAAAAAGAATTTCAATAAAAGAAATATTTCAGGTAATGTGATTTAGAGTCAACTATTGTACTATTGAAGAAATAATCATGATAAAAATTTTACAATGGAGAGGATTTTAGGGTATCATCTAAAGTCTAAATTAAAACAATATCCTTTGCTTAAATTTTACATCTTAAAATTTCAGTTTCAATTTTATAAGAAACCAAAATTTGACTTGGTTCATTGAACAAATATTGGGTGGTTGGAAAAGTCATGATATATTTTTTAAAAAAATAAGTATCAAGTACCTAGTCTGCCTCAATCTGTAGCTAAATACGTTTCATTTGGCTTCTCAGGGTTGAACCTATTTTTGTTTTAATTAAAGGGATCTATAAAGGACTGAAGCTACCTGTTAGAGCTTTGACTTTTTTTTTTCCTGGAATTTTCTAAAAAAACAAGTAACACTTATGAAAAAGTCAGGAAGGCTTTCAGATGGCGGTATCATGTCTTTGTGATCATGTGTTTGTAAATGATTTGTTTTAATTTCTAGTTTAAAAGTTTCTATCTTCTTTGTCTTCTTTCTGGTCTTTCTACATAAAGGTAATACTTCAGAGTGAACTCATTTATGTGTTATAAAAACTAAACAAAACAAACAACTCTCTAAGACTTTATTCCCGAAGAAGTTGAACAATTAGGAGGTCTTTGTTTCAATCCAGCTCTGATTACTAACTCAGAGTCAGCCACATGCAGCCATGAAAACGGAAATGCAAACTAATAGAGAAGAGCGGCTAGAGAGCAGTAAGCCTTCCACACAGTCCTGCTAACCTTTTCACCAGAGTCAGGTCCACTAAAAACTGAAGTTAGAGGTCTACTCTATCTTTCATGCCCTGAGGCTTGAAGTCTGCACATCAAAGCCACGGTCAAACTTTGAAATTTAAGACATACAGGAGGATTAGAGGATTAGAACACTGACATTTTATTTTCTGGTTTTTTTTTTTTGGTTTGCTACAGCAAACTACTTATACTGTAAACCTAGAGAATTTATAAAATACCTGCTTACTTGTTTGTTTTATTAATACATATATTTCCTTAGCTTCAAAATAAATGACCCATGTCAAGTGTAAATCCTCACGTCCATGCCTAGTGTTCTCAGTAGACTTCAAATACCCGGTCCACAAGTATTTTACTCTCTTCGGTTACCCTCATCATTATTTTTCCTTTTAGAAATTAAGTGATGTGGCATAAATGAGCGCTGTAATTACTCACACGTCATTCAATGAAGACAAGGTTGAAACTTAATCTAATTCACTACTCCTTCCTCTGGGGTCACTCCATTGCTCTTCTCTTTCTTATGTTAGGAGCAAGGCTGGACAGGACAAAGACTTTCTAGAAAATCTGAGTGGCTTGGGCCAGCCCATGCTGTGTCTGTGAAAGTAGCTGGATTCCAAGTGACCAACTGCGTGGTCCTTGTTCTGGATCATAGCTTGAAAAACATGCCAGGTGTGTGTGTGCATGAGTACTCAAAATCTTGGAGGGAAATGGAGGAAAGGGATTGTGGCATGATCATTCCCCACAGAGGGTGCTTTCTCTTTCTGTTTCTCTTTCTGGTGAGTGCACATACCCTTCGGCCACCTTTTTTTTTTTTTTTTTTTTAATGAAACACCTATTATCTTTGCTAATTTATTACTTTCTTGCCTTCAGGTCCTTTTATTTCTCAAGAAAATAAAATATTCCAAAATGTAGTCGACATTTCCTCATATAACTCTCTCAGAGCTCGTTCTCTTCCCACTCTAGCCAGATGTAAATATTACTCTGAATTTGTTGTTTACCTTCTCATGCATTTTTTTTAGTTTTATATTTGTATGTCCCTAATATTTAGCTTTTAAAAGAATTATATATTTTATTTGTTATTATTTTAATTTGCTATAGTCATAGAGAAAGATGTGGGGAGGAGGCAGAGAGAAAGCAAGTCACCAGGTCTGGGAGTCGAACCATAGTCAGCCTTGTCGGAATCCAGCTTCCCAACCACCACACCACCTGCCGACCCTCCTAATATTAAGTGTTAAAATATCGTGTTAATGATATTATATTATGCATGTCATTTTGAGCTTGCTTTTATTGCCTAACATTGCTTTGAGATTTGTTCATATTGATGTAAATATCTCTAAAAACTTTATTTTACAATTATAGAAATGATACAAGCATCTTGTTACTCTTTTGGTAGATTGGTTGCTTTCAATCATTCACTATTTTTTTCTCCTTCAATTTGCCAGAGGGTGCATGTGTTCACCAGAGAGACAGAGAAAGATGGGGAAGAAAACCTCCTCTATGAGGTGTGGCCATGCTGCAATCCCTTCTCCTCCAGTTTTTCTTTGTATCTAGATATTGGATTGCAAGCACATGTGCCTAGCCTGTTTTTCAGTCTGCCAGGGCTGGGACTAAACCTGCATGGTCAGCCATGTGGGATCTAGACCATAGCATACTTGTTATCTAGGCCTTTATGGAAGAAGTTTGCTATCCCTGGAATAGAGTATAGATGTGAAAACTAAGATTCATTTGCCTGAAGCTATGCATATGGTCTCCAGATTTCTTTGACTATAATGCTCATCCTTTGAACCATTATCCCAAGTACCGCTTGGTAATTTGTCTCCTGCAATACAATCTCAGTGTCCTATGGCTTTCAGTGCTGCTACAAGAAAGTGCTTTCAGCAGGCTCCATGGCCTGATGGCTAAGGCAGCCAAATCCCACTTGGCTGATCATGTGATTCAAGTCCTCAACTCAGAGACTTGGGAAACAAGCTGAGAGCAGATGTGTGTGCCCAAAATCCCGAAGGAGGGAGAGATAGAGGAGAAGAGATCGCGGCATGATCACTCTCCATGGAGACTGCTTTCTCCTCTTGCCCTCTCTCTGCCTCAGGTGAGCACACCCACCTTCTAGGGAAAAGAAGGACTTTCCTCAATTAAATCTTACTATGGAATTTTTTTTGCTCCATCATCATTACTCCACACTTACAAGTTAAGTTCTAAACTCCTTTGTAAGAAATTAATATCCTGTATTCTTATTTTTCAGTGATGTTTTTTGAGAGGATTTTGCTATAGGGAGTGTATGCTCACCAGAAAGTCAGAGAGAGACAGAGAGAGAAAAAGTGAGAAATCACATCCCCCCCCCCCCAGGGAAATGGCCACACTCCAATCCTTTCTCATCCATTTTCCTCTCAGGATTTTGGGCACTTACCACACGCACCCAGCATGAATTTAAGCCACCGGGTCTGGGACTTGAACCATAGTTGACTACATGTGAATCCAGTGACATAGACATTATTCTAACTGCTGCTCCACTCAGTGCTTTTTTTTTTTTTTTTAATGTGGTGACTTCTCAATGTTCCTTAGGAAGGAAGCATGCTCCTCTGACACGATTCTCTTCCAGCATTTTTTTTTTTGTG